GTGTGTGTGCTTTAATCAGTGTCATCACACTCACCTGTGTCTCAGTCATCAGTCTCACTGGTGTCACCTGGTGCCCTCTCCCTCACTCACGTGGTTCAGTGGGTGTTGTAGCCATGTTAATGGTGCTCTGTGTTCATGCTGTTGAAGTTCTCCTCTTCCTTCCGTGTTCTGAGCTCTTTGCTGTGACCCAGGGAGTTTTTTAAGTCGCCAAAAACTTCTTTGAATGTCAATTGTAGGACCTTGTTATTTTTTTGCAGGTTTCATTTTTAACACCTTGTAGAATGAAGGGAAGTTCCACTTTACAAAAAAATCTTTAAGTTTTAACTGAATTTTTAAGGAAGGGAAATTGGGTTTCTAAGCATAGAGAGCTAAAACATTGTTAGCCACCCAAAGGCTCTGTGATTGTGGACTGATAAGGGATCCAAAACCGTTATATGAGGGCATGGATGATTAGGTGTTCATTGTTGCAGGACGGAGGAGAGCAGCCAAAAACCACCAGTACTCCACTCCAGAACTGCTTCTACCATTTATTACACATAATTACATTCTTAAATAAAAACGATTCACCGAACAGTTCCTTGCATAGAGATATTACAATACCAATTTAAAAAAGGAATTATGAAACAAACCGGTAACAAAAATAAATCTTTCTCATTTTTCCATAATAAAGAACATCATTGTACTCATACGTCATAATATACAAATGATAAATTTGAAACACTTTGTACAGCGAAAGAAACAAAGACAGATAACACAGGAGAAAAGAGGAAGAGATGCTTAGTGGTGGTCGGGGGGGGGGGGGGAAATTATGTCGGAGAAAACTGGGGGGGGGTGAAGGGGGGGGGGGGTGAGGATGAGGGAATGCTGGTAAAGTAGGAGAAGGGGTGCATTTGATTAATATTCAGTCTTGGAAACAGGGATGGTGTTACACATAACAATGCAGCCCCTCACCTGTACCCACAAACACACACACACACAGACACACACACAAACACACACACAAGGCTGTAAATAATGTAAAGACACAGGGGTAAAACAGGACTTCAGTGTATATGTGAGCTTTTGTGTGAGTATGTACTTGTGCATATACAGATAAATATGTCTGAGTATGGATGTTTGTGCATGTACTGTATGCACGAATTTCCTGTGCTTGTGCGGGTGTGTGCAACGTTTGTTGTGTGTTTTCAAATTTTGATCTGCGATATCGTGTCCATGTTTCCAGTCCAGTCCTATGAGATGGAGTCTCAAAATGAATGCAAGTTATGAAGGAAAAGTCCGAGTCAAAAGTCTGAGATGGTAACAATCCCTTCATATTCTCTAAATATGGGCCACATAAACATAATAATATGTCGGACACAATTCCAGGCTGATGAAAAATCCCACAAAGTTAGTATTTGGGCCACTGTGTCAAACTGAAGAGGCCTCTTCTGAATCACATTCATTTAGTCGAGTTTGTAGTTTGTCATTTTTGCAAGGAGTGACCCAAATTAGTTTTATGATATTTGGACCCCATTTGTCATTAAATATGCTGTCCACTTTTGACTATCATTCATTTGTGTGGCCAAGATAAAAGCCAGCAGTCTGTCTGACCCATTCACTGCCATATGTGGCCCATATCTGCATGCACTCTGGGTACGAACTTGCTGAGGACAAGCAGGTTTACAAGAATGTTGTCCTCACGACCCTCAAATCAAAACAGTCTAGATGAAAAGTCTAAATGCTATGGTTCAAGTCCCAGTCAATGGTTCAAGTCCCAGTCAATGGTTCAAGTCCCAGTCCATGGTTCAAGTAGTCCCAGTCATGGTTCAAGTCCCAGTCAATGGTTCAAGTCCCAGTCCATGGTTCAAGTCCCAGTCAATGGTGTTTAGGTTGAGTCACAATAGAATACTAGCTCTAGACCTTTAAGATGTGAATATGTTTTTGTGCTAAAGACAGCTATCATACAGACTTCTTACTCCGTGGTCACTGTTGGTGAAGTGAAGTGTGAACCCAGAAAACAGCATATGCAAGTGAGTTTCTTTTTTTTCTTTTCTTTTTTCTTCTCCCTATAAAAAAAAGTCAGAGTGCAAATACAAACAGACAAAGAACAGACAGGCACCGCAGAACTGACATTCAATAAGATGACACAAGAATATGGAACCACATCCTCAGAAACCACATGAAATGAACCTGTCCAGGAATCACATTCACAATTTTTCAAAACAAAATCCCAGATTCAGTCACATGTGGAACTAGACCTTTTTTTTTTCTTTTTTCTTTTTTCTGAAGCGCACCCTCATGTGAAATCCACAGTGAAATAAAAACAAAGGGAAAGGGGGGGAAGGGAAAACACAGCAGGGATGTGAGTATTCACATGTGAGGCAACTCCTCAGTTCAACAGGAGAGTTTTCCACTGAAATACTGACACACAAACGTAGAGCTGCCATTGATGATACACGTTTAAAGCATTGTTTCTGCTAGACTGCATCCTCGCCATCTCAGCTAAACTGAAAACCAACTCTGAAAAATGTATCATGTATCAGACCTTATTTTTTTAAACCACCATATCTGAGAAGATTCAGCCTTTTTTGAGTCCTGTATCAGTTAGGCTCAAATGATTAAGATTGACAAATTCTTTTTTGTTTAAAGCATTTGTTGCTCGTGCCATTCACACTGTTTTAGGGCTTTACATAATTCAAAAAAATTCCAAAATGACAAAAGGTTTTCTATTTATGTGCTTTCATTGTTGACAATTTGGCAGAAGCAAAGTAGACCTGCAAGAGTGAAACCTAAGAAGGAAAGAACTGGAAAAGGCTACTTTGGTTTAGTGAGTAACTCCATATGAAGAAGGTTCAGAGAAAATGTGACAACCCACAGATAAAATATGAATTGACATTCTGAACTAATTGGATTTTCTGAGTCGGAGCATGTCTGAATCATTCCTTAAGGATAGAAACAAAGTCAATTTTTGTTCCCTGTCTCTGAAATACTATACTGTACTAAATTACAGTATTTCGACTGGTATTCAGAAAGCTTGAAGTTCACTCCCAATACTCCATATGCGTCTCAACGAAAGGCTAAATCAGAATTACTGCTCCGGGATCCGTAGTTGGGGCATCCATGTAAACATGGACTCAGACAAGTGGTGGCGCTATAACTTGTAAAGGGGAATTAGAACTACTGGGGTTTTACTCCACAAAAGGAGGTCAACTCGTCTACTACAGGCAAAATAGTTTAGTGATGGACGAATGAGGTTGAAAGTTGAGTTGCAATCACTTCTAACTTTCTTAAAACTCTTCTAACTCATCCAGCAACTAAAACTTTAGCTACAGAGCTCAGATACAGGTTTTTCAAAAGATTTGAAAGAAGTATTTTATTATTATTATTATTGAAAATCCTCAGATGACATTAGACGTCTGTGACATTTTTGCACTCATTACAAAACAAGCTTACTGTATTTTCCGGACTATAAGTCGCAGTTTTTTTCATCTTTCGGCTGGGTTTGTGACTCATATTCAGGTGCGACTTATATATGAAAATATATCATTTCACATGTTTGTCATTTTCACACTGACAGCCATGGTGCAGCCAGGCTTGTGTACCAGTATCTGCTACTCCTGTACCACTGGAAATTTACATTTTTGTTGTTTTGACACTAGTGCGACTTATAGTCCGGACAATACGGTACGAGGGGTATTATAAGGATCTCAATTCTGAAATGTATGACTCAAGGCAATTTTAATATTTGTTTTCATACAGAGTTACTTCTTAACCTAAGAAATATTCATCCAGTCTACTTCCAGGGCTCCATCATTGAAAGCGGAGATCTGCAACAATGTTGCCTGGTGTAGATGCAATCACCCTCACAAATGGGTGACATTTTATCCAGAAATGCCATTTACAGAAAAAATATAGAAGTGTCTTTGTAGTTTTTCATTTTTCTGATCATTATGTCTTATGACGCAGCCTCTCAGTGTTGAGTGTTCATTACAAAAGGCTTGTTCGCACATTAGAAAGGAAAGTCTACACCGTTTATACGAGGCAGCGGGTGATTTAGTATCTACTTCCAGAGGTGCAGACAGATCATGTCTGGTTATGATTGAAATGGTCTGCGTTCATAGCCCAAATTGAAAAGCACCTCTGGTTCACAGAGTGAAATCAATTTTATGTGTCCCTTGCCAGGAAGCAGATTGCTGTGTGCTTCACTTCACCTCAAAAGTATTAAAACTGCTGTTACAAAGAGAATCATCAAGTTCACCAGTTTCCTCATCATCTTCCTCGTCTGAGCTGCCATTTCAGGATCTATTTGTGAATCACGGACAACAGTTTAAGGTGGCGGAGGAAATGTTTGGGACTTTTCAGCCAGACTAACACAGCAGATTCCTGTGAGTGCCAACTAGGGGTTGTACAGACTAATCAACGGGTCGACCAGGGTTTGACCTCAACTAGACACTGATAACGTGCTTTTAACGCCCACAACATGAACGCCTCACAGAGATGTTTGTTGGCACCAGGTGAGTTCACCGGATGGAACTAGTCCATCACTTCCAATCAGTTTAACTGTCTTCTACTGCTGACTTCACAGCTTTGGTAACTGTGAGCATTAACTTTAATTCTATTCCAAAGTGAGGGAGAAAGCCAGAAAGTTAAGGTGGAAAAATGTCAGGGTTGAGTGAGAACGTTTTCGGCCGCAGAATTAAAGTGAACGAAAAGCCGGGGATTATTCCAGGGAATTTAGGGATTATTTGGAACACATCAAATTCCCAGAATGAAGACAGGTGTCCCATCTAGTCAGGTTGCTCCTATGTCACCTGACAGCCAACCACGTTAGTGGGTGAGCGTTCACCTAGCCCAGATTGATGCGGCCTGTGCTTATATGCCAAAGAGTCAACAAGCTAAAGGTGTGACTGAAAATTTGATGCAGCGGAACTGACGACAAGGCTAACCGGCTCTTGGTTGCCTTTCATGCAGAATGTTCTGGGTTCAAACTCCAGAGTAACTTGTTGACTTTAAAAAATCTCAAGTCGTGCAACCCCTAGTGCAGTCATGTGTCCCTTTGTCTCGTTCTATTGCTAATCCAGCCCCACCAGCCCGATGCCAACCACCCACTGGTGAAAATAAACAATTCCCATTTTAACCAGCTCTGAACTCAACCAAATGTGGGAAAAAGGGGAACACAGCCCAGCAACATGTCACAGACAGATACATTCACCTTGATTTGCTCAGAGAGGAGTCACCGGATTGATTGAACTTCTGAGTTGTCCTATAAGGTTTTTGCATCTGCAGCAGGTGCAAATCCGTATGTGTGGAGCGGAAATCAGCCGGAATGTTTTCAGATATGCATAGGGCTGGGTTAGGTGGAGGTGTTAAATGTGGCTTTTCTCTGAAAAGAGCTGCTAAATTCTGATGTTGTTCTACATGGATGGTGCGAAAAGAGAAGATCTTCCTCAAACTCACTGGCTGACCAGATGCCAATCCCTCTTAAAGGCTAAAGAGATCATGTTAAGCATCTGCTGTAGTCCCTTGTGTTTACTTTATTTTAATTTAATTTTTTTCTGTCCATTTCCAATGAGTTCTTCAATGTCTTTTCAATGGTTTCCTTCCTGAACCAATCAGAGACTGTTTTCTTAGAAACAATATGGCCCTTCACAGTACGTTCATTGTGACGTCATCCTGTGTGCTATGGCAGTCAGCTCTGACTTGTGCATTTGGCCGCCTGCTGTCCGTGGGCCGTGTGAACGAATGTCAGGGTCCAGCGACTTCCAAATTGTATCCCAGTTCAAGACAGTATGGCCTTTTCTTAAGCAAAAAAAAAAAGTTTGTAAAGAGTCAATTGTGCAACAGTTTCCGACAATAGGGGGAAAAAGCACCCTACGGAGGCATCAAGCAGACGTAGAGATGCTCAGTTTCAAACGTTTTAGGAGGGGAATCAGTCTCTCATAGTCAGGATTAGAAAGACTTATCCAGTAGTATCTGTTACAGGATGGTGCTCATTAGTAAGGTCAGGCCCTGGCATGAACCCCATCAGTATTCACATCAGACTCCCTTCTTTTAATCCTGTTCAAAACATGTGCTCCAACCACACCATTCTTTGTGGAATCATCTGCCAACTGAAGCAGCTCCAGTTGGCAGAGGTGAGAAAAAAAATCTGTCAAATGTTATCATTATAATTATAATGATGAGAATAACCCTTCGAAGGTGTATGGATGGTAACTGTGTGAGGGTATTCCACTAAGCTAGCATTGGAATCTTTTAATATACAAACACGTCGTGTGAAGGTTAGTTGTCACTGTGCATCAGTACATAAGGCATCCATGGCCTCACTGGCATGTGGATCACTGCTGTGTGGATGCATCGCAGCTCAGGGACAATCGGTGATTTTCAGGTACATTGTAAGGTGCCGATGGATCGTAGTGAAATCTGGACCAGCTGGTTGAGCACATATTTGCCTGCACACGTGTCCGCAACGGCCAAATTGGATGTCTTTTGAGTCCACGCTGCTGCCTTGGTCACATCCATGTTGGTATGTTTCTGTCCTTTTTACTCTTCCACTCCACCTCCATCCTGCTTCTTTCACTCCTCCACTCCCGCTGACCTCCCTCAAATTCCTCAGATGTGCCTCTTCATGTGCAGCGCCAAGTGATCGGACCGTGAGAAACACCTGCAACCAAAAGAGCAGAGGAACATAGAACAGCTTGTTAGCTTGTCGCCAATGCTGGGAGGAGAGGAGTTTGTTTTGTCGATTGAGCAAAATGTTGCTGTTAGCTAGTGAGCGCCGAGCCACTAATGCACACGCAATTAGTATATGTGTAACTAATTCATAATCAGCATTTTCAGCAGCTCTTCTAATGACTTCAGCTGCGCCATGAATAAGTAGAGAGCTCTCAGATTGATCTGTTGAAACGCTGTGAGAGGAGGAGGGGGAGGTTGGGGAGGAAACCGAAAGCTGCACACAAAACATGTGCTGCAAAACGATCGCTAAATTAGATGTAGCAGAGCCCCTCATATAAAAACCAGCTCGTAGAATTGATGAGGCGTGGCGGCACAGTGAGAAAGAAAAATTGCTCTTAAAGCAAAGTGGCCTGTTTTTACACGAGACTTTCACAACCATTGATTGACACAAACCCTTTCAGCTGGTGCTTTTTGTCCCACATGCATGCTACATAGAGGTGCGGCCACTGAGAGGACACACGCTGTCTCAGATCCTTTTCTGGATCAACAGTGTCTTTGTTGGATGCTATTTGGAGACGTATTACAGCTCAAGTCCTGAGAGTTGTGCTCTTGGTTTCTTCTGGAAAAAGCTTCTACAAAGACACATGCTCTCAGAATGAATGTGAAAAATACATGGTTATATAGGCTTCATTTCTATTTTACTGATGTGTATCATCATGTCTTTGAACTTGCGTTTTCTCCCCCAGGTGTTTGATCAAAAAAGTGCATTTTTGAGCATAGTGTTGTTGTTTTATTTTAAATTGTACACATTTTACATTGAAAAAAAAATTGGTTAAATGATTCAGTCAAAATGTTCTAAGACAGAGGACACTACTGTAATGTCACAAGTGTCTGAATAAAACACCTCAAACATTAAGACACATTCTAAGGCATGGAAGCCTGATGTAATTATTGTAGCAGATTCAAACCTGAATAACATCATGAAAGAAAGAAACTCAAACTGGATTCTTCAACCAAGAGACAAGAAATCTTAATTTTTTTTTCTTCCTTTGTAGACTCTTGGACGTGGTGCAAATGTGACTTGTTGCACTTTTGTTTTTTACAGTATTTACTTGACTCTTGTTAGCTAACATCAGACTTGTCGGCAGCGCATTGGCGGACCTTTGTGTCCCAAACAAAATCAAAATGAACACTTTGGAGAGCTCATAAATTATTAAAAGGCCAAATATATTTGGAGGAAACATAAACAGTCTGGACAAAAACCCAGAGACTGACAGAAACAACTGTCTCAGATGACAACATGAATCAGTGTTTGGCCAAGACGGCAAGTTACACAGTGATGAGCCACGAGTCATCAGTCTTACTGTCACACCTGCAGCTGTGTGTGTGTGTGTGTGTGTGTGTGTGCAAATGCATTCTCGATCAATAGTTAGCCCAGGAAATGTGGCGAGGTTATTGTGTGTGTTTATGTGTGTAAATGAGTGTGCGCTCCGTGAGACAGATGGTAAAGTATGAGTCACGACTTGCGGGCACGACACCAGCTGGCACATCGTAGGGTCTGTCTCCTCCCCCTCCACCCCCCCCTCACACCCTGTGCCTCATCTTCCACCACTGTCGTCCCCTCTTCCTTCATCTCAGCAGGGTGCGTGTGTGTTTTAGGCCAGAGGGGTTTCGCATCTTTTGACACATGACAGAGGAGGACCTGAATAAGGGATGTGCCTGCAGGGTAAGATAGGAGGAGGAAAATCAAGGAGAGAGAAATACTGTATTTACAGTCTGACCATCTGAGACCTGATGATGATCAAACACACACACACACACACACACACACACAGACACACACACCCACAGACCATGGTAAAGTACCTGAGGTGAAGAGGGATTTCTTTGTGTCCGGTCATAATGAACCAAAGTCTGGTTCAAGATCAGTTCACTTTTAGTGTCCGTATTGCATTGTTTACAGTGTAAACGAAAGGAACAACATCCAAGTACTTCATCCCCTTATATTATCACCAATTATATTTGTCGGAGCACGGAATCCTGTCGCAGGACTGATTGGATGGTTAGTTGGGCCTGATTTTGGCCCACAGGCCACCAGTTGATGCTCACTGCTTTATGTAGTGTTGCAGGTATTGTTTTGTTACAACAGCGTGTTACGTAAATACCACATTGAAATGTATTTTAAAGGGAAGAATGTAATAAGACCCCTGCATTCATTATCCTCATCTCCAGGTTTTAAGTTTGGTTTGGAAATGACTTTTAATCTGTTTTTTATTATTATTATTATTCATTTTCATCCCTCTAAATGGGATCATTTTAAAAATTCACAAATTTTATTAAAATATTGATTTAGGTTTTAGGACGGGCAGTAATATGTTGAAAAAAACAAATAAAACAGCTACTTGTCCTGCAGTTTATTGGACGATTCCCATGATACAAATAACACTTGATTAAATTGACTGATCGACTATAAAACGGAAGCCGCTAGAAGGAGAACTAGAACATTTACTAGAACATTTTAAGAACTGCATTTATATCTCAATAATAACAGAATGGCCAACACATAAAACATATCAGGCAGATTTACAGTGTTAATTCAAGTGTATTAGACATTTTAGTTGTCATTCTGAGACTCTTGCTACAGGTACTTTTATTTGTTACAAATAAGGAGCAATATGTATGTTTTTTTTTTTTGTTTTTTTTGAGTTTCCATGTAACGCCATGAAAATGACCTTTTGAACCACACTTTCACCTGGGGTGTGTTGCCTTTAAATACTGCACTGGCTCCTGCAGATGATATTGCTTAGAGATCCCAGAGGTGTCAGTGAGGAACGTCTCACACAAACACACACACACATACACACTAGTATGTAATTAAAAGTGAGAGAAAGATTTTTGTGTCTGGTGTGGAGCTGATCTTTTTCATAGTGAGACAGTGCCATCTGAATGCTCGATGGTTTCATCAGTGGATGCGCGCTTGAGGGGCCGCGGCAAATTGACATTTCGTGGCGCTTTATAATGAAACTGAAGCCGGGGCGACTAATTAAGAAGCAGGGCAGAGTGGGCTCTTCAACATGACAAAGAAGATGAACCTCCACACCTCTGTCTGAGATTCAGAGGCTATTTCTGCTTCTGAGGTTGCTGACTGTGACATGGGAGGTCACACAGACTGAACAATAAAGGAGTTGGCAAATCTAAGAAAGAGTGCTTTAATAAAGCCCATATAGACAAGGCTGATGGGAGAGTGCAGCAACTTAAGGCTGTTCTTTTTTTAATCAAATAAGTTGAAGTGAAAGTCACTCGATACGCTACAGTACACTTTTTATTAGCACCAAGAACTTTCCTGGAAGAAGATATGCACACACCGTATGTTCTGGACTATAAGTTACTCTGGAGTATAAGTCGCACCAGCCAAAGAATGAAAAAAAGTGACTTACAAGGACAGCTGATACTTGTACACAAGCCTGTAAAATTATATTGTTAATATATACAGTAAGTCACACCTGAATATAATTATAAAAACTCAGCCAAAGGATGAAAAAAGGTGCGATTTACAGTTCGGAAAATACGGTACGTGAATTAGCTAAAAGTTACAGTTAAGTTCACCAGAACCATGACCATCAACAATTTGGTCGATAGCTTTTTGCATTTTGGAATATATATTTATAACTCAAAATTCTGGGAAATGATTGAATCTCATTACTGGATTTTAAAACTGAAGGCTTCTGTGACATATCTGTCAACACAGGGTGACCATTGAGGCCAGCTCACTTGGCAGAAGAGAAACAACTGTGTACTAGTGAGGGGAGTATCAATACACACACGAGTATAGATTGAACATTGATTACTCTCATAAATTATTGATAGTAATTAATTAATGAAAAAAGCACATGTGTGTCTTCAACATCTTTCAGGATAACTGACCACACAGAGGCCTTTGGGCTGCGTCTTCTGGTATCACCCATCACCACTAGAGTTTGGGGCACTATGGACCCTTGGCTGATTTAATCAATCATATTATAATGTATTAATGTTATCTCCAGATTGAAATAAAAACCCTGGTATTAGCATATCAACAGCATCCTTCAAACTGTCCTTTTTATCCTAGAAAAGACTTTCAAGTTGTCTGAGTTCCACCAAAGGCACACGAGTACAAATTAGAATTCCACACCAGTAAAATGTGGTGGTGCTAACAAGGTCTACACCTCTGTCTCCATGTGAGAGCAGCTTCCAAATCAGGGCCATGCATCGCCATGTGTAAAAGACTCACTATTAATATGCTGCACTGGGTCCTGTCTGGGTACAGAGCAGAAGGGAGCATCCCTGGGATTCTCATTGAAAAGACTGAGCAGGTTGGCTCCTGTGTGTGTGTGTGTGTGTGTGTGTTATAAAAGGGTGTGCATTAGTAAAACTGCCAACACACTTTCAAACTGGGTCAGTATCAAAGACATTTGAATGTGTTACCAGCATCTGGTAGGTGCCTTTCCACAGCACCGAGCCCTACTGTGTACAAAACACAATAGGAAAAACATAACCCACTGTGAAAGTGGAAACACTTCAAATGACGGTGAAAAAAAAGGAAGAAAGAGGAGAAAATATAGCAGGAGAGACGAAAGGAGGAAGGAGACGTGTGTTTTGACAGACCTGTCACAGTGGTTGCACTTAAAAGGCTTGGCGCCAGTGTGTTTGCGGTAGTGCCTCGTCAGCTCGTCACTCCGGGCGAATCGCCACTCACAGCCCTCCCATGAGCACTTATACGGTTTCTCACCTGTGAAAAACAATGACCGGTCAAAATATGGATTTATATGAATTGACATTTAGCCAAAACACACAGTAAAAACAGGGTATAAGCTGAAACAATTCAACAACTGCAATGTATTAAGGTCCAACGTGATTATCTTAGGACATATCCGCTAACAGTTAACAGCAAGAAAACTAATAGTGGAAGTAGATCGCTAAAATGTAGCTGATAAAGGGAAGAATATCAAAAGCAGCCAAACGATAACTAACAGTCAGTCTACAAAGAGCAAAAATATACATCTACTGAATGTAAATGAGCAGTTAGCTTAAACTTTGGCAAAATTAGCTGTGTGTCATCAACGATGGTGCAATTCAAGACAATCAGGGTTCAGTGTAAACCAGTGATAACCGAAGATAATCCCACACGTGAAAATAATAAAGAAAGAAAGCAGTAAGCTAACATTTAGCTTACTGCTAACATTTCAATATTGGAAGTATTTCTCTATAAAGTTTTTAAAATAAGCCTTGACAAAACAAAAGATCCTCAATAATAATAATAATTAAAAATCAAACCAAAAAAACTCAAAGTCGGGAAACAAAACCAAACAAACCAAAAAAACTCAAAGTCGGGAAATTCATACATAAACAACATACAAATAAACTGAGGAGATTGTTGCAGGAAAGCTAGCCGTATCTAAAATTTTGGTGAACGTTTAAAAATATGTTGCCAAAAAAACTACAAAACAAAAATAGAATATAATTTGTAAATTAGCACTGTAAAGGCAACATTTCATGCAAATCGACAAGGATTTCTAGGGGTTAGCTATAGCATTAGCTAAAAAGTTTGTCTGCAGTAGCTTAACAGTAGCTTAAATTACAACAAAGCAAAAACAGCTTGCAAGTTAGCCTCCAAATGGTTGAAAGACGATCTGAGAAAATTGTTTGCAGGAGAAAAGTTTTAAATGATTCTATTTCTTAAACAAATGATTCCACACAACATTAAAACATCAGAAATCACAACACAAATGGTGGTCTGTAGTCTGCCTGGAGGTAAAGAAGACCAGCACCAGGCAGGAAGAACTGGGCGGAGGAATCAAAGCAGAAAATAAGTGAAAGGAAGAGTGGAGGGTGTTGGTGTTGATAATTAGGCCATTCTTGTGGCAAAATGGCCAGTATAGACCAAAATGTGCCAGCTGCGTCCAGCCCATGAGATGTCACCTGCATCAGTAACATCCCATCTGGACCAGTGGCTTTTTTTGCTGGGTACAGACAGTTCTGACACACTGACCAGCTCCGCTCCAGTGGCTGCAGCTCCTTGGAGACAGACCTCCTGTGTTTAATGTGATTATCAAAAGGAAACACAATCAATAGATCCACTGCTCTGTGATGACACTGAAGACTGACGGGGACAATGGTGGTTTGGTGCCATTGTCTATTCTACACCAGCTGTATACTGCGTGGCACGATCTGGTCACGGAGAGAAGAAAAAAAAATCAATAATGTATGTAGAATGTATGAGCCTCGGTTAAAGGTACATTTCAAGGTTTTCTTTCCGAAATTGTGAATTTTGGAAGGATGAAATCTTGTTAGGTTTCATGGTGACTATTTTCTTTCCTTTTTAATGCCTAACATTTTCTTCCAAAGAGAAGTTTGGGCAGAATTCCAGCAAAAATGTAAATAAATGAGTTGTTTCTTTAAGCTAGCCTAACAGTGATACAAAAGTCTAAAGGGAGTGAAATACCTTACACCAGCTCTGACACAAGTTTAAATAAAGTCAAAGGAAATTCCTGATAAAAGCTAAAATGTCAGTATACTTAGCAAACATTTGACATTAAAATATAACAGCTAAAGGCTAACAGAGAGGATAGTCCAGACATACTATCAATCCAGATAGTAACAACCAGAAACAAAATGCAAAATTACCCAAAATGAAAAAAATGTTCAAACAAATGAAGTATTATCAAAATAGTGGTCAAGAAGCAATACCCTGTCTAACCTTAATCAGCCAACTTTTGGCTACATGTAGCAAAATGTTTGATGGCCAATACATCTCAGCTTAGCTAAAAGAAATTGTTATGAATGAGCTGAACGGCTGCTTTAACTAAATTAGCTTAAACAACTGAAAATCAGCAGATAAATTAAAAGTGTGTACATTGGTCAGAAATGTAAAATTATCTAAAAATGTTAAATGTTACCAAACATTTACAGCAAAATAGGATCATTTGTTTTCGGCTGTGTAGGTTCTCAATCACCTAGTGTTATTTCACACAGTGTTTTGGATTTTATAAAACTGTTTTTGAGTAAAGCAAAAGAAATGATTCAGACTAAAAAAAAGGATCTTAGGAAAAAAGGCCACTTCTACTAAGATGTTGTATCTTCCAGACTTTGCGGTCTTATCGATAGAGACATCATTATTAAACAGGTTCCCTCAGCTTGTGTTTCCCCAAACTGCCTTGCTTCCCAGAAATACCCATCACAGAAGGCCTGGCTTATCCAGCAGCAGCCAATCAGATTCCCAAGAGGCAGGGATGCCTGGGTGTGTTGCCTAGCAACGTGAGCAGGAAGGAGTGGACTGTGCGTTGTGTGCGTTTGTGTTGGGGGGGCA